AGAGAGAGAGAGAGAGAGAGAGAGAGAGAGAGAGAGAGAGAGAGAGAGAGAGAGAGAGAGAGAGAATGAGAGAGGGACAGAACACAAACTCAAGCACGCCAAACAAAAGCAAGAAAAATGAACAAAAAAACGTAAATTATACATGTGTGAGTGTGTGTTCGATGGGGAAAAGTTTGCCACATAATTACTTAGGTAAAACTATTGCTCGATTAAAAAATTAATTTTTCATATTAAATGAAGGGATTGTTTCACTTTTTTTCTCTTTCGCCATATGTTCAACTTCGACTTTAATATCCGTTTGATTGCGTGCCTTTGCGCCTCTACTTTCAAATTTGTTTTGTAAATTTCCCTCTGATTCTGAAATCTGTTCGACCATTCAATTAATCATATTCGTGGCAATTGTCGGCGTCAAATAAGTTTAATACCATTTTTATTTCTGTTCACCATCATCAAAGCAACTTAAAAGCTATTTGGATTGAAAAAATGTATACACGATTTATATAAAAATAAATCGCTCAAGTTAACAGCTAATTATTTTAGCATTAAATATGTAAAATAATAATCTGTAATTGAATGGATTTTAGTGAGTTCAACGTAAAAATCAGAACAATAACGGGAAAAAAATAAAATTGGAAAAAAGGGGTGGAAAAATGAATGGAAATAAAAATCAAAACGAAAAACGAAAAAAATAAAAAATAAAAACATTTATTAATAGTAAAAATGTGTGCAGACGTACCAAAGAGGGTAAATAGAGCATCAGGCGTGACCATCTACAGAGAAAGAAAATAGAGTTAAGTTAGCATAGTTTTTGATTTGTTGTTTTGTCTCTATTTTAATTAGATTTTAAGTGTTACTCAGTTGATTCATTGAAGGATTAAACAAATTTATCAAACAAAAAAAAACAAGAAGTTAAATGATTTTTTTCAATAAACTAGATATGTTCAGTCTCTCTTATGAAAAAAAAATATTGGGAACACACACTAGCTCAAGATAGACCAAAGTGTCGTTTCACTGCTCGATGACATGACAAATGCAGAAAATTGACAAGAAACAGTGTAAACGCTTTGTCTCGTTTGAGAGCTTTGATGTGAAATGAACTAGTTGAAAATTGAACGAGAAAAAAAGTACTGGCTGGAAAACTATGCGTTTTACGTGATGGAAACAAAAAAAATCCATTACTAACTGAGAAGCTAAATGACATGTATTTTCGCATGTTTTTTACTTGTAGCTTCGTTAAAAGAAAGGAAAAAAATAAATACACACACAAACGCGCGTATTTAGTAAAATCGCTTTGACACTCTTCGACCAATTGGACGGTGTCACATTGAAGTTCAAAGGAAAAGAAAATGCGGATCGGAGGAAAAAACGAAATTTCTTCGGTTAATCCTACTCATATTCATACATACACAACGCCATTTGCCACAATTTCAGAAAAGAAATACGTGTCATTTTCATTGACAGAAAAAGGATTGCCATGAAAATGCACACATCATTGGATCGATTGTAGCGTAGTGCAAGAAAATGTATTCATTTTGAAGGATGATGACAAACTCATAGAGAAGCGATTTCAAACCGAGCAATTACAGTATCGATCAGTGCATTCGATAGAAGAGGAATACATGTGAATAGAATGGAAACAAACACAGAAAAAGAAGTAACGAGTAGTTCAAGGTGGTCTGGAGAGAAAAATATAGGATTTTTTGTTTGTTTCAGATATGTAGATGATTTGATAATATTTCGTTTGTTTGTTAATAAAACAGAAGATATTAGAAGCTGTAGAAATGTGTGCGTGTTGGGTATAAATGAATGCACCGCGTTTGCTTGCGTGCACAGTGCCCACAATTTAATAACAATTCAAACACATAAGAAGAAAAAAACACTCTGAAATAAAGATAAAAGTCATTTACACAATGAGCTCTACTTTATTTGATAATAAATAAGCAAACAAATATAGCACTGATTCAAGAGAGTAATTATGTTAGGAAATAAAAGGGAGAAAATAAGATGATCATTTGAAATATGATTTTCGATTGCACAAGAACTATAGTGAACATTTGAACATGTTTTTACAACAGCAACAACAACACCAACACAAAAAAATGGTTCGAGTGGATTCGATGATATTTGCAATAAATCGTTGATTCACTATTGATCAAGGCAATTGAATTTTCAAGTGATTCCCATTTGACTCACGGAAACAAAAAAATGCGTATTATATACACTTAGCGCATGAAGGAAATGGTTTATTGAAGAAAAAAAAAATAAGTAAAAGTCAAAATAATATTGTAGAGAGTCTGAGCACATTTAGTTGTAAAATGTTTTTGCAAACGAAAAAAAAAAAAAAAAACATAAAATGAATAAGTAAATTGTAAAATGAACAAAACGAAAAAAAAAATAAAAATAGAAAAAAAAAACGAGAATCAATTACGGAAAAACCACTTGAATGGAGTGATCTCTATAGATGTTGAGTGCGCTTACCTCTTCGTTGAGATTGGAAACGAGTAAAACATTCGATATTCCTCTGAGCGATGTGGGATTTGTCTGACCGATGCCGGTAGTCGTTGCCAATGCGAACGCACCAAGACTTGGAATTGCACTTCCGTATGCGCCAGTTGTCAAAGGTGTTCCTAAACCTAATGCAAATGGTGGTATCACATTGGGTGCACCCAGACCATTCACTGCACCATCAGATTATGCGAAAGTGAAAAAGGAACGAAAAAAAAAGAAGAAGAAGAAGAAGAAGAAAAACGAGAGAAAGTAAAAAGAAATAATCGAGAAAAACAAATAAAGATCCGTTTGAATGGTTAAATCGAATGAGAGATGAAGGTCAAGCGGCATTAAGTGATATACTACTTGCATGAACGTTAAATGGATTACAATTACACAATGGAAACAATTATATCAATAAATTAATTGTTAAACTCAAAAGCTTTGGTTAAATGGCCATTGAAAATGGAGAGCAAGGGCGTTTGAGAATGTAAACTCTACACACAGGCACACATTCGCACGTACGAACACAAACACACACACACACATTTACCGAAGAAAAATAAGCGGTAACGTGTCGATTGATGGCGTATGTGTGTGAGATGTGTGTATAGAGGGTCAAACAAATGGAAAACAAATAAAACTCATAAATAAATGTAGATACCTCCAATTCTATCACCTGTTATGGTTGGCCGTTGTCGTGCGGCGATCAACAATAAATCGCTTGCATTGACAAGACCTCCAGCACTAGCGATTACTTCTGAGCCGGGATCACCGGGTGGCAGCGATGGATTTGTGAAATCACGTGATTTGTCATTATTATATTTTACATTTAAGGCTGTCAGTTTGCTGTTGTCGATCCGTAATGTGCAGCAACCGTTATAAATATTTTGACCATCTAAAACAGCTCTCGCATGTTGAGCAGTTTGTGCATCTGGATACTGGATCAGGGCCTAAAGACAGACGAAAGACGACAATAATACATTCGTTTTTATTTCTTTCTCCTTTTTTTTCTCTGGTTTTTCGGAAAATTGGTTTGCAATTTTCGATCAATTTGGCAAACAGACAGATGCATGTGTGGCGGCTGTTGCTGCCGTTACGGATGCTCGTGTCAACCGATATACTTACTTGGAATGAATTATTTTTGTTGAATGTGACTATTTTTAGCACTTTACCGAAGCGTTGAAATATTTGATGCAGAATGTCCAACGAGACGGGATACAATAGCGATTCCACTATCACACGTAAAACGGTATTTTGGCCGCCAGTGGTTGATATTGTTTGATGAACACCGTGTGATACTGGATCCGTTCCAGATATCGGCAGAGGTGAACCGGATGCTGGCGATGTTACCTGGAAGTCTTGACTTTGTAATGCTACTGATGCATTCTAATGGTGTGGGTATGTGTATTTAAACATGTCAGTCCAACGAAAACGAATCGAACCAATGTGAACGATATAAAAAAAAAACGATAAAAAAAGGAAAAAAAAACAAAAGAAAGAAAGAAAACAAGAAGAATTGAGAATTGTGCAGAAATAAAATAAAATGAGACAGCATAAGTAAGCAGAACGGAGAGGAAGACGACGAACACGGAACGAGAGAAAAGCTTAACAAATGCATCGATGGCACATAACTCCGGCAAAATAGCAATGGCAACGCGTTGACGATGGAACAAAGTGCATTTCGGTTGATAACATTACCCATCCACTTGGAAGCTCGTTGAAAGAGCACGAAATTTTTTTGAATTTGATTGTATGCAGAAAATGAAATATGGAACAGAACGAAGCAGAGCACAGCACAGCCAACGGACACGTGTGCAACCGCGTTTTTTAAATCTTCGGTCATGTTTATGGCTTCGGCTACGAAATTTGCCCGTGACATTCTCTGTCTCTGTCTCTGTTCCTGTCTCTCTCACACTCACACTCGTTCATTCGCTTGGGGAGATAGAAATTAAATGGTTTGCACTTTTTGCCATTGCCCATTTGTTCATAGCCACCGTTGAATATCTCATTTAAAATAGAGTGGAGACTTTTATTGATGAAACCGAAATAGTGCTCGCGACACTCTGCGTTGATTGTTTTGACATAAGAGGCGCGCGCGATAGATGCAAACTCAAAACTAGCGTAGTGTAGCAGTGGGAGGGGGAGACAAGATTAAAAATGTACCAGAGCCACATGAATATCAAAGCGGAAACAGTAATGATTATCAAGCGAAAAACACGTCGCTTCATTCTCTCTATCTCTCTCCCTTTCGCGCACTTCATTCTTTTGGCGCTCTTCATTTTTGTTTGGACTTTGTGAGCATCGATGCCATTGAATAAAGGAGGAAATGTCAATCTATGCGATTGAATCGTTGGCTCCAACCAAAGGCAAGAGCATAACAGTGAAGAGCAGCAGAACGGAGAAATTGTAGTATCGAACAGTGACGCTGAATAATAGTATAACGCTACGGATAATACAAAACAGATGATGATAAGGGCCGCGTGTTTGACGACACAAAAACAAAGCAGGGAAAAAAAGAAGCGAAAACAACACAAAAAAAAGAAAATCAAAAAAACACTCAGCCACTGTAATAATGGCGAAAGAGGACAAGAGAAAACAAAAGACTGTGGCCGAATTGAAAGGGAAAAGCTTTTGCTCATTGTGCGTTCATTTGGTATTTTGTATCCATATCTATGGATATACGTGTATGGATGTGTGTTTTTTCGTTGTTGTTTGTCTGTTTGTTTGTGTGTATGTGTTTGACTGAGCTATTGGAAAGGTTGTGGCAACTGTGTGTAAACTGTAGAAAATATACGAAATGATTTATACTTACAATAACCGAATGACTCTGATCAATTTTCAATTCGCGATGGTTTGAGAATTGTACGTAGACAGTTCGGCCCCGAACCTGAGGTGGATTCGTAGTAAAGCAGGCGACCATCGCAGCAGCGCATACCTCATCTGCCATTTCCAAAAATGCTTGGTTTTTACCCTTCAGCACGAGCACATTTGTTACCCGACCAAACGGCAGGCCCAACTGTATGACTTCGGACTCGCTTGAATCATTTGGTATATTCCTGATGTGTATTACTCTCGACGGTTTGCCTACGGAACAGATTTCAATATTTCATCATCAGACAATTACGGTAAAACGTAAACATGTTGCGTGCAGTTTGATTTTCCATTCGGCTTTCGGAATTCGGATTCCGATTTTTTGGATTCAGGCTTTGGAAATGAGCATTGAGCAGTTTGAATTTGAATCTGGGCTAACTTTCACATTCGCTTTCCATATTTGGTTCACTCAATCTCTCTCCCTCTTTTGCTCTTCTCTTTCCCTCTATTTTGCCCACTCTAAATTTCGATCTCTCACCGCACCTCGGATTTCATTTTCGATTTGGATCTTTGAACTTAATTCAGTGTGCGGCAGTGGTTTTTGCGTTTTTCACGCTTCGAATGGTTTTTGTTGAAAATACCATTTGTTCATGATGGCGCCGACCAATTCATTTCAACCCACAAAACACCAGAATAGCTGCGCGCGTGCACATCGACTATGTACGTACATACGTAACAAAGAAATATACGGCATAGACGGTGTGTTTGTGTGAATGTGCGTTGTGAAATGGGAGAAGAAACGGTCATTCAAATTGGAAACTGTATGTCTTAATTATGCGATGCCTGAAGCAGTCATTCAACGACATTATTTTGCATTGAAGCTTGACCCAAACCTTTTCTCTCTCTCTCTCTCTCTCTCTCTCTCTCTCTCTCTCTCTCTCTCTTCCTCTCTCTCTTTCTCTTTCTGGTCGGTACGTTTTCGTTTTTTTTCCGTTCTTCTTGTTTCTTGTTTCGTGGTGCACACAGAGTGAAAGAGAATTGGTACGCATTTCGCATCGATTTGTATTTCCTTAAAGTGGAAAACATTTCGAGTAGCTGTTCGAATTTACGAGTTGTTTGAATGCCAAAAACCATAGTGCACCATTTGGCGTTTTTTTTTTCATTCTTTTTTAAATGATTTTCATTGCTCTTGTCGATTGAAAACCGGCCTTAAAAACGCCCCTTGAATCGGTCGAATTGCAAAATTTTCTTCCATCAAGCATTTTCGCTCGAGATCCACAAAAATGCATATCAATCGCTCGGTGAAAATAATAGCGAAAATATTTTTGCATTGCCCATTGAAAGTAATCGAAAACTGTGTAGTTGCTGCCGCCGCCGCTGCTGCTGTTGAAAAGCACAGTAGAAACATCTCTCAAATATATTCTTGATTTACAACGAGTCAGTCACGAGTTTGCACTCACAAAAATGCTTGTCGGCTACATAATAGACCACAATTAGTTCGTTAATGGTTGAGCATTCCAGCAGTTATTTGACTAGTGAGACTGTATCCATGGTTTCCGAAGAAATGTTGAAGCTTCGCAAATAACGTAATTATATCATTAGAGCTTTTAATTTTGTGGTCTTGGTGTTATTTGAACAGTATTCCGGATTGGGATCCGGAGAGCAGCAGCAGCAGCAGCAGCAGCAGCAGCACCTACAGAGGTAACAACATTCTTCCATTCGTCCGACCGTCAGGCAAAATTGATTTAACACCACCACAAACTCATATCACTGCCAAAGAAACTACTCATTTTGGTCACACAATATGCGAATACGTTTCCAAATATTAGATGTGTGTTTCGTTGTTCTCAAAATGCCAGCTATCCGACACACAAAACCCGAATGAATGCCTGCAACATTTTCTATTATTTTTTTCTTCTCTTTCTTTTCACCTTCTCTTTTCCTCTCTTTCACCTTGTCAAACATATTTTGGAAATCCATTGAGCTACATTTTAGAAAATCAAATATACTCACCAACACCACCCAGAACTGTTGATGTTGAATCTAATTTGGCCTTTTTGGTTGCTAAATCTTGATTGTTATTATCTGAAGCGGGCGCCATCACTGCTGCTTGACTGAGCAATTCGTCGCTACCTCGCTGTAAAAAGAAGAGAAAAAAAGATGTGTTCGTTAGCATAGCGAAATTATGAATGACTAATATTACTTATGCAACGAGATCCATGACGAAATTTGGTAATGCCATACTTGAAGGGCTGAGCCTCAGATCGGATAACTTAATTATGAAGTTGATGTTGGAGTTATCGGCTTAATTATACAATGTATACACAGAGATAGAGTGAACGAAATCTGACTTCATTTAAACGCAGAAGGAAAAAAAATAAACGCCAGCCATATCAATAACTTTGACAAAAATTCGGCAACATTCCGTTGCCGGTTCATTTGCACTGCGATGCCGATTGCTATTGCACTCTCTTTCTCTCTGTTTTTTTTTCACTCTCTGCTTGTTGCCTTTGTACAAACGAAAAGACAGACAAGCATTGTAGAACCGAAAAAAAATAGAGATAAAAAAAGACAGCATCAAGAGCGAGAAACAAACGAAATAAAGAGGTAAAGCATATTTAAAAATACATCCGAAGGAACAACGAAGCGAATAATCATCACACAGAAAGCTTCGAAGCGAAATCTTTTTCAATTTTTCAGCTGTTTCAAAGGAAATGGAGTAAAACAAAACTACACAAATACACCCTCATACACCGAGCAGAGCAGAAAAAAAAAAATAGATGTAGAAAGAGAAAGAAATCACCGAAAACGAAGCGAAAACCAAACGATATTGCAAAAAGTAGATACACACACACACAAATGGAGAGAGAGAAAGAGAAAGGGAGAAAATGCTCGAGCTAGAGAAACCGGAGAAAAAGGATTATACGCTGACAACAACAATCAATGACAGCGAGATAACGCTCAGAGATATTCTTTTACACTTCAAATCATTTCGCATATATGTATAGTAGCACTTTGATTTTCGTCGCTTCGTTTCGCTCTTCTGCTCTCTTCGTCTCTTTCTCACTTGTTCCAATTCTCTTTTTTTTATCTCTCGTCTCTCTTTACCATCGCAATCGCTTCAATCCGTCTATTTATGCCGTATTTGTTTTTGTTTTTGTGTTGCACGAGAGTATGCATGTGTGTGTGCTTGTATGTACGAGATAGTGAGTGAGAGTTTTGTGTATCGAATTCAAATGTAGGGCCATGCATTTTTCTATGATTTTGTTCCACCACTCATGCTGCATTTTCATGTTTCAAGCAGAGCATGAAATGCCAGTTATTAGAATGAACAACCCGGGCAACGAGTGTTGTACAATAAATTATCATGATTCAAACACACCAACCAAGCATTGCTTCGATCCGAATATTATATTGAATGCATTTCGCACAATTTATTGTCGTCGCTGAAATGTGCTGGCGGGGTTTTTTTCCTCGATATTCCACCCCATGGAACGTGGTGATATATGGATGAATAGAAGAATATGGAGTAGCTACAAATCAAATACCGACAAATATATGCGTTATGCTTTTCAATTTGGCGTTCGTTCCCTTATTTTCCCTCAATACGGTTGGAAATCTTGTCTTGTCGCCTTTTGACTTGATTCTTTTAAGCTATCATTTGTTTTCAACAGCGTGCATCTTTTCGTTTTACTTTTCTTTACTTTTTACCGTCTCTTCATCATTTTTTGTTTGCACATTCTTTCCGTTCCGAATTTCTCTCCATGATGCTTGGAAAAACATTTATTTTTGATGCATAAAAGTCCAGTGTTTTTTTTTGTTCATTCTCAGCTTTTTGGCCATTGTTGGCCAAATCATGGCTGAAAAGTATTCAAGCAAAAGTATGATCGAATAAATGGTGACGAAAAAAAGAGAGAAATCAATTTTCTGATTTTCAACCAGAGCACAAAACGCACACCGCCTACTCTCGAATATGGCTAGCCATATGCTATACTAAGCTTAGTATAGCATTTCAATAAAGTTAGTGCTTGTCGGCTTGGCCTTAATTTGCCGAAAATAGACTCGAAAGATTACGGCGGAAGATTTTTTCTCTTGATGGCTCCAATCGGTACGGAACTGTCGTCAACTTGATCCGCCGCAATACCATTTGCCATGCTGCTTTGCTAATTCGAAAATCAAAGTACAAATGACAGGAGATGCGTTAGAATTTGTAGCACACTCAGAGTAAGAGAGTCAGAGAGAGAGAGAGAGAGTGCTAGAGAGCTTTGAAACACGTTTCAATTATCAAGGTAAATCGCATAACGAAAACTTTGTCGAATAAATTTTATGTGACAAGTCACAGTGAAATTCCTCGCATTCAATGCTCAACACAAGCAACAGCAACAGCACAAATAAATTCCAAAAATGTGAAGGTGTCAGTGGCTCATTGGTTTTTCTTTTCTTGCCACACAACACATAAACACTTTTGTTTCGTTTTGTCTCTTGTCTTGATTTTAATCGGTGACGTCTTTGTCAAATAATTTCCAGCGACAGGTTTCCACTTAGAGAATATTCAGCAGAAGACAGAGAGAGAGAGGGAGGGAGAGAAAAACGGATTTCATCGCACAAATTCTTTTGATCAAAAATCAATGGAAATGAAAAGAAAGTTCAGAATGGCGAAAAAAAACAATGGAAATGAATGTTTGGCAAATAGAGCGAGGGAGAGAGAGAGAGAGCGAGACGGCAAGATAGAGCCATGGCTCCAGAGAGTCAAAACATCGATAAATATCAAATAAACGGAAAAGTTGTCAATCCTGATCCTGAGAGCGGTGCCACAGTGTTTGTATTAAATATCACAGTCAGCCATCCAAAACGGCAAAACCATAATATTCACTCAACTTATAATATATCATTTCAAATGTTTGCATTGCTATTTCTCGCTTTCTGCCCCCACTGTCTCACTCACACCATTCGTATCTATCAATTCATCCTTTCCACTTGCTCTCTGTGTGTATCAACATAACGTTTTTCCTTCGCACTAGTGTTTGTCTCCATTCAGTGTCTCCATCGCGTTCTGTGTGCGCTTCGCCGCTTTGCCTAGCTGCGAGCAACACCTGTGAAGGAGATATATTTTGCAGTGTCATATATTTGCCATACAAAACGTAACAAAATCAATAAAAAAAAATGTGGATCGTATATTTCCAGCGATTTCCCTAGAGAGATATAAAATGCGACTTACCGCACACAACGTCATTTATTTATTTCACACTTAACAAAGTGCGCTCAAACGAGCAAGCGAATAGGAAAAAAAGAAGTAGAAAAGGAAGGGACAACAGTAGCAGCCGCGGCGGCGGAGGCAAAAGCAGTAGGAAAAAGGAAGGGGAAAAGTGTCGCCCGTCTTTTGTTGCATTTTATTTTCTCAATTTGAAACAAAAGATACCCAAGAGTGTGTCTGTCTGTCTGTTGAAATGTGAAAACCTCCAAATATGTTTCGTGCACTTTAAACTCTTCGGTTCGGTTGCTGCTGTTGTCGTCGTCGTCGTCGTCGTCGTCGCTGATGTGTACACTTGCGAACGAGATGCAGAAACAAAGCGAGAGAGTGAGACAGTACTTGAGTGTATATGCTCAAGCAACGCGCACATTCTTGCGATGTACTTGCGACTATTAAATGTTTGGTAAATGATGTGTAATCATATGCAAGTCAATCCATGCATGCATTCACTTTTTCAAGCAGCCACTGAAGGAATTCAAGCAAGACAACTGAACCGACTAGAGAGAAATGTGAATATGAGTAAGTGTGTTTGCAGTTGGTGGAGAAATAAAAAAAAAGGATTCCTATAAAAAAAACACACACACATCGAATGACTCTCATTCGCAAGAGAAAAGAAATACCAGAAATATTTGAGTTTTCACCCTTGAGTTCGATGGAAAGTGTCGCTTTTTTTATCGTCCGGAATTGAAACCAAAACGATTCACCGTTTCGTCACGCCTAGACAGCTGAACCGCGAAATGGATGAGTATTTATTGTAGCTACAGTCATATTGACATTGTAAAACACCATCATGTCAATGCATTTGCACACAGCGCACAGCACACATCAAGTACAATGTGTTTGGTGTGCCATCGAAAGTCAAATAGCATCGTTCAAGCATACGCTAATCATGCAGACGTGCTGAAAGGCAATCACATAAACAATACGCGCGCATTTACTCCCCATTTACTTTCGTGTTAGACGAGGCAGCGGATCCATATTTTTTTGTTTTATTCGTGTGTGTGCGTGCGTGCGCCCGTGATTTCAACAGCGTCCAAATTTTAAGAAACAAATGGTTTTGAATGTCAATATCCCCATTTTACCGAAAGTGCATGACTTTTGCACTTAACAACGTCAATGAGAAATTGGCTGATGTGCAATTAAAACGAGAGAAAAAATGTACGGAGCACAGAAAAATACAACACATAGACTTGCACTCGGTGTCGGTTGGCTCAAGGAAATATAACGCGTGTAATTTTGATTCGTGTTTATTACACTGAGACCAAAATGGAAAATCCGCTCTTATGTTGCGTTCATTGGCGATTTAATCCATTCATTTTGCACAGATCGTGTGTGGGTGTGTGTGTGTGTGTGTGTGTGTGTGTGTATGTGTATGTGCATTGGTATACGCTGTCATACGTTTCGCCTCTGTGCAACGTCATTCAAAGATTCGCATACATAATTTGTATTAAAAATTTACGAGCATAATAAAGCGATACAATGTCAAAGGTTAAATGAGAATTTATGATTTATGATTTAGAATTAGGGATAATATATATCTCTGGCTCTTTTACTCTCTTTCTCCCTCTTTCTTGATGTGCTGCTCTCGCATGCATCAAAGGATTCCAAAATCGTTTAGCTATGCGCTCTGTGATGCGTTTGATCTTCACCGTTAAAATATATTCATTTCTAGTGTTTCACTCTATTGCCACCATTATGCTCATCTGAATAGCAGATTATGATGCGCGATGCTGCACACCTTGATTTAGGGCATGTTCTACAACAGGTAATATCACAGCACGGTTCATTAAATTTTATTTCAATTGAATTTTCATCAATTTAATGAATTTATTCCAACACGAAGCAGGCGAAGAGCAGCAGCAGCCACCGTCACCGGGTACGAAAGT